CAAACTTGAGGCAAATCTGCCAAATGGCAAGTAGGATGCATGACAGTCAGCAACTCTGTTAGCTCCTCTGCTTTGCAAAACTCTTTGGGCTTGTGGTTGGCTAACTGTTGTAGACGCAGTGACTAAAAAAAGATTAGACATTTTTTTCTGGAGGTTACTGACAGCCACAATGGCTAAATGGAGCCTCTGTTTGTAGACCTGGTGTACCTCCAAGGGGATACAAGTAACAAGGAAGGACTGGTGTCTTCATGACCTGTTTGTAGGCTTCTTAAAACATTCCTGGAAGCAGAATTTCAAATGAAATCCTGGCTTAGTGGAAAATCTTGCTTGATGTGAGCAACCCCTTACTTAAAATCCTCCTTATTTAGCCTCATTGCTTTCTTGGAGTTCCTGCCCTCATGGTTGCTGCTTTCCTCCTGTCATAGTTGACATCTCCTTAAATGATGTAAGGGAAAAATTAGAGCATTTGACAACTTTAAGAATAATAATAAATAATAAAATTTTATTTATATCCCGCCCTTCCGCAGCCAAAGCCGGGCTCAGAGCGGCCAACAAAAGTAAAATAATACAACATTCTAAAATCATTTCATTATAAAATTAATTCAAATCAAATTAATGGCAACCATTGGGCTAGAGTTCTGTGCGGATTGCCAAAGGAGGGAGTCAGACTGTGCCTTGGCCAAAGGCCTGGTGGAACAGCTCTGTCTTGCAGGCCCTGTGGAAAGATGTCCCGCAGGGCCCTAGTCTCTTGTGACAGAGCGTTCCACCAGATCGAAGCCACAGCCGAAGAAGCCCTGGCTCTGGCTGAGTCCAGCCTAACCTCTCTGTGGCCCAGGACCTCCAATATGTTTTTGTTTGAAGACCGTAGGTTCCTCTGTGGGACATACCAGGAGAGGCGGTCCCGTAGGTACGAGGGTCCTAGGCCGTATAGGGCTTTAAAGGTTAAAACCAGCACCTTAAACCTGATCCTGTACTCTACCGGGAGCCAGTGCAGCTGGTATAGCACCAGGTGAATGTGATCCTGTGGCGAGGACCCCGTAAGGAGTCTCACCACGGCATTCTGCACCCGCTAGAGTTTCTGGGTCAGTCTCAAGGGCTCAACTTTGGCAAAAGTGTTGGTTTATGGCCAGTAGTGGACAATGTTTACATATTGGAAACGTAAGCGGTAATCAAATGGCAGATTCTCTTATTCCCTCCCCCTTCCTTTTCTCCCCAAAGTATTGATGTAGTCTTATATTTATAATACTGGCTGCTTAAAGGGATTGTGCATTAGGTACTATAGTGACAAAAATAGGGCATAATTTATTTTCAGGCTGCGATTTTATATCAGGCATTTCAATTTTGGTCACCGAAGTGTGTACAGTTATTATTTCCCCCCCAAAGTACAGTATCTATTACTGTTATGGGAAAACTGCCGCAGTGTGTAAAATATTGCCTTTTGGTACCATATGAGTCCACAATAAACTATGACACAAAAGCATGTGCAGCAATTTTGGAACGCAAATGGTGATCTTCATCATAGCTGTCTATATATTTTTCTCCTTTGGATGCCATTTTATCTATAACTCTTGTGGTTTTAAATTGGGGAAAGCCAGTTCTTCTGTCTGCAATGGCCTTTTTGTTTTGTTGGGGTGGTGGCTGGGTGGTAGAAGTGCTTCCCCCCCCATGATGAAATAATTTGGGTTCAATAAATGTAACCACCACCACCCCTCCTCAGTTTGCTGTGATAATGATTGTACCTTTGCATCCAAGAATCATTTTTTGCAGTGATCTGAGAAATTTCTTTCCATCCTCACTGCTCTAGTTGGAATTTACATGAAGTCACTTTGCTTGACTTCTAAGAATAGCTTGAAGGGAGTGGCTTTGCCTCTCTCTGTCTCTCTTTCTCCACCGTAGGATCAGCAGCCATTACTTTGGTCCACACCCCATCATTTCTTGAACTGCTTGGACATTGTGCCAATGATATTTTTAAAGTAGGGAAATGCATGCCCTTCCTCTTAGCTCTACCCACTGATTTCTTCCTGTTAAGGAAGGATTTTTTTAAAAACATCAGAATATATATTTTTAGCTGCTTAAAACTTTTTTATTTTCTGATAATTTTTAACAGTGGACTGATTTGGTTGTTGATGTTTTATGATGTATTTCCCCCTGCTGCTTCCAGGCTTAGGTTGCTAGCATTTGAGAGCCAGTGTGGTGTAGTGGTTAAGAGCAGTGGACTCGTAATCTGGTGAACCGGGTTCGATTCCCTGCTCCTCCACATGCAGCTGCTGGGTGACCTTGGGCTAGTCACACTTCTCTGAAGTCTCTCAGCCCCACTCACCTCACAGAGTGTTTGTTGTGGGGGAGGAAGGGAAAGGGAGATTGTTAGCTGCTTTGAGACTCCTTAGGGTAGCGATAAAGCAGGATATAAAATCCAAACTCTTCATAATGCTGCAAATAATTCTTATTGACTTGATAGCACTATTCAGTCCAATTCCTGGTCCCTTGCATGTTTTTGTTTTTTTTAATCTTCTGCATGGCTTCATTCCTGAATATGAGCACAACAATGTTCAGTTTTGTCATCTCATCACTTTTCTCAAGCATCTTATCCTCCCTTCAAGAACAAAAACAGGGTTTCCAGAGCAGTGGCGTAGCGTGGGGGGTGCCAGGGGGGCCGGCCGCACCGGGCGCAACATGGGCGGGGGGCGCGCTCGCACTAGCAGCTCTCTGCCCCTACTAAAATCCACGGGTTAGGGAGCCCGCGCTCGCTCGACTTGGCGAGGAGGTCGCGGAAGGGGGAGAGCGAAGCCTTCTGCCGCGGGCAAAAAAAGGAGAGGAAGCCGGGCGGGCGGGCGGGCTGGCTGGCTGGCGGGGGTCTGGCTGCGCCTGCTGCTGCCGTTGCCGCTGCTGCCGGGCTTTGACAGCTTGGCGAAGCGGAGGGAGAGGAGCTTTATGGTAATTGCGGCTCTCTCTCCACTGGCCGCCTGGGTAGTGAGCTGAGCCGAGCAGGGAGTCTGGCGAGGGGGCGGGAAGAGACTTTTCCACCTCGCCTGGTCAAAAAGGAGAGCGGAGTCTCCTCAGGGCGCCCTCAGGCAGGGCAGGGCAAGGCAAGCAGAGCGAGGAGGAGAGAGAGGGGAAGGGGGGGGAAGCAGCCAGGAAACGCCGCGGTGTGGAGGAGGAATCAATTAAGGAGAGAAAGCGAAAAGCCTTGGAGAAAGGGAAAAAAGGAAAGAAAAGAGGCAGCTCCAGGAGAGCGCGGGGGAAAGAGAAGCCTCGCTGCTGCTGCTTGGGAGAGTAAATTACTGTACTTGCCTTGCCCCGGGTTAGGGGGCGCAAATTACTTGCCTTGCCCCGGGTGCTGATAACCCACGCTACGCCGCTGTTTCAGAGTGAAGTAACATCCCCTCCACTTCCAGCTCAGTCGCTAGAGCATGAGACTCTTAATCTTGGGGTTGTGGTTTTGAGCTCCATGTTGGACAAAAAATATTCCTGCATTGCAGGAGGTTGGACTAGGTGACCATTGTGGCCCCTTCCAACTCTACAATGATTCTGTACAAGTAGTAAGGCAGTCCTTGTGCTCAGGCTTGCAATCTAAGAGAAGCTATACAAAAGGAAGAAAAGGTTGGGGAGGGATGCAGGGAGGAAAGCAAATTGAATCAGCTAGTTAAATAGTTCTTGTAAGGAACAGCTGGAATGGAAACAGTTCATAAAGAGGAGGAGGCAGAACTTGCCAGTGTCTCAGCTGACCAAACGGTAGGGCCCTGCAGCTCCTTCTCTCCTTCTGCCTTGCCTGGTCGAATGGCTGCCGCTAGACTAGATAACATGCTACCTAGATGATGTGTGATTTACGTCCTTTTTAAGATTCTGGCTGATTGCTTGTGATCATTAATGCCCCACTGATATATGCACACCAGCCTGTGTGGGAAGGAGGTGCTCATTTGTGATAATACTCCACATAGCTGCAGTGTGTGTATTTGTGTATGGGGGGGGGAGGAGGGAAAGAGGGGAATTTAAAAGCCATTTATTTATTTATTAAAATTTATACATAGAATAATAGAATTGTAGAATTGGAAGGGATCCCGAGGATTATCCTTGCAATGCCGGAATCTCAGCGAGATAATACATGACAGCACTTGATTGTTTTTGTTTTTGTTTTAAAAAGCTTAAAAGCAGTTTACAAAAAGATAAAACGAATTTGACTGGCCCATGCCCTTTGTTTCTTACAGTGCATTCTCATGCATATTTGCTCAGAAATAAGTTCCATGGGGTCTTATTATCAGGAAAGTGTGCCTAGAATAATTAGGCTTAGAATCGCAGGACGAGGAATGGGGGGGAATGACTCAAGATAGAAACAGCAACACAAATTTATAGTGGAAACCTTTTTTAAATTCTAAGGCTCTTTCTCTGAGGTTATTCTGCTATACTGCTAAGTGAAGTGATTAAAAAAAAAAAAAGGTTGGGATTGTCTAATTACTTATACCATCCTGAACCTAAGCAGAGGTCCTTAGAAATATGTTCCGTTTATTTCAACAGAATGACCAACATCCAATGAGCCCCATATATGAGCAATTTGTGTATGTGTGTGGAAGTGTGTGTGCAAAGGTGCTGATTTTTTCTCTTTCTTTTTGCAACCCTTCATGTTACTTGGGAGGGTCTCCCAACATTTCACATGCAAAAGCCTCAGGGTGTGTGTAGAATAATACCTACGACCCATTTGGTTCCCAGTCAATGTATATTTAGGATGATTTCCCCTACTTTTTCTGGGTTTCTGTTTTGGCTTTGTTTAAAACAAACAAACAAACAAACAAACAAACAAACAAACAAACAAACAGAAAAGTCTAGTCAAGAAAACATCACACTGAATGGATTTCTTTTGCACTTTTTCATATGGTCAGCTTGCATTTCTGTGTTTAAAAATACATTTGCTTGCACTTGTACTATAATTGTATGCCGTGCTGAAATAATTCAACAGCTACGCAGTTAGTGAATTTCTAATTATGTTGCCTTCCTGTGTTCCCAAGCAGTGCTGAGTCCCAAGGTTCTCGGTATAGCTATTGCCCGCTATGACTTTTGTGCACGAGACATGCGCGAACTGTCCCTGGTCAAAGGAGATGTGGTCAAAATTTACACCAAGATTAGTGCCAATGGCTGGTGGAGAGGTGAAGTAAATGGAAGGGTAGGTTTATGTTTTTGACAGCATACTTTTTGTATATTCCATGCTTTGAAGAATGTTAGCAAATGCTTCTTTAATTTTGTTCTGTTTATTTGAACTATTTTTTATCTTAACTTTCTGAGGTTTGAGCTGAAATACAGTGGTACCTCAGGTTAAGTACTTAATTCGTTCCGGAGGTCTGTACTTAACCTGAAACTGTTCTTAACCTGAAGCTAATGGGGCCTCCTGCTGCTGCTGCGCCACCGGAGCCCGATTTCTGTTCTCATCCTGAAGCAAAGTTCTTAACCTGAAGCACTATTTCTAGGTTAGCGGAGTCTGTAACCTGAAGCGTATGTAACCTGAGGTACCACTGTATGCTATTCCTTGAGTCCCATTGTATTCAGTAGGGCTTACTCTAAGCGGAGATGCCCAAGGTTGCACTGTTAGGGTCTTTAACCAAACTAGATAATAAAATACTTAAAACGAATAGTTCTCAACAATCGGCAAATTAAAATGGCATAAGCAGCAGCAATATAGCTTTCAAAACATTTCTATGGGAGACCAGGAGCAGCTCTACCTCACTGGTGAGTTCATTCCTGAGCCAGAGGTAAAGGCACCTGGAAGTGGTTCCAAACTGCAGAACTCAGCTGCAGCAGGGCTTGTCCAGGAAGAGGCTGTCTCAAAAGATGTGTGAGCCCCAGGCCACAAATGGCATAAAAGTAAGCACTGGCACTTTAAATTTAGTCTGGAAGCAAACCAATATCAAGTGTTGCTGATTGCAATTCCAGCTTCAGCATTTGAGTTGTCTTTCAGGGCAGTCCCTCCATAAATCACATTGTGGAAATCAATTCTAGGCATGATGAAAGCATGGAAAACTGTATGTGAGCATGTGAGACACTTCTTCTCAAAGACAGTGCAAAGCCAATGCAGTTAATAGAAGATGCCTCCAGTCCCATGCTAGTCTTAGGAGCAAGACAGATGCTTCAACCACTGTTTTGTTTGCTTGAGTAGTGTTCAGTGTCTTGAGTGCATTCACAGTCCTTATTGACTATACAGTGAGTGTAATTTAACCTTCAGTTTTCTGTGTAGAGGGTACACACACACACACTCAGTCATATGAGTGCCCACTTGCTGCTTGAAGTGGTACAAGCAGGTCTGCTGCCTCATTTGCTGAGTACTGAGTCTGTGCTTGGCGTGATTGTATTCCTGTCTCAGCTGAATGCCAAAAGTTCCTGAATTGCTAAATCTAATGTTGGCAGTCAGCCCTATTTCTGATCATACTTCTATTTTTTGCACGCTTTGGGTCATTAACTTGATATCTTTATCCAGAGAGACGTTGAATGCTGTGCCACAAAAATTAGTTTGTCGCACCCTTTTCATCCCCTTTCTCACTGTTGTGAATCATTCCTAATTTGAACAGGTGGGTTCTAAAGAAAATTATCCTGTGCCAAAGGAATATCAATTTAATATGTTGTGCCTTTTCTTTCCTGATGTTCCCTTTAGGTGGGTTGGTTTCCCTCAACGTACGTAGAAGAGGATGAATGATTTGGAGTCCTAGCTGGTACTCTCGATCATAAACTTCAGGGACTGTGAATTTCAGCCATCTGCAAAGCATTATTCGTCTTGTTAAGTATTTGAAATGCAGCGCTCCTGTCTGTTAAAACCCTCCAGTCTTAACACTGGGATTACTGAAGAAGTTTGTGTTGACAGATTAATATCTCACTCAGATCTGTGCAAAGAAGCAAACTGCCTGCCCATCACCACTGGGGACCAGTTCAAAACTCTAACTTCACCTTCCTGAAAAATCACTTCAAAACAGACTTTTTAAAAAAACGCTTCTTTTCATTCCATCCTGCTGTACACATTGAATACTAAGTATGGGTATCTATTTACTAACCTTCGTTTCTTTTTTCTTTTCCTGTTAGCTAACATCTCTGATGGCATTAGGAGATGAAGGCTTGCTTTATTGTTGCCTATCATAGCTTTCAGGAGGAGCGGGGGGGGGGGGGAGTTTTAGCATTCCAGTAGTCATGTGGTCAATATTATTTGTCTTGAAATATCCAGCAGCAGCAATTAACCTTGCCAATGACTGCATAGCCATCAAGGATGCAGCCTCTAAACACACTTTATGGGGACTAAGCTAAATTCAACACAGCTCTGCGTGTAATTCTGGGGAGGAAAAATACAAAGGAGTTCGGTCGATGGGTCATTTTAACTGGCTTGTCTGTGTCTGTGTCTTTTTCTTTTTTCTTTTTTTAAAAAAAGTTTTATGAAACAGCAAACTTCAGGAAGTGTTTTTTGGGTTACCATACAGTTGCGTTAGAAAAAGGGATTCCGTAGTATTTAAGGTTACAGATTCCTAGCACAAAATATTCCATACAGAACAGTGATTTTAAAATGCACACGCCCATATATTTTGCAAAATTCCATGTACCTAGGAGATGTTATGCTTTTATGGATAAATCTTTGGGCATGGTTCGATATTCTACCTTGGCAATTATTGAAAGCTCTGCTAATATGCAAGATCCCCCTCTCTCCAGTTGCCTTACTTGTCTCAGTTGGACCAGTAATAATATAAAAAGTTGTGCTGTGTACTTAAAGAAGGTGGTATTATTACAGAAAGCAATTCATGGGAGATGTTTCCTCCTCCGCTCCCGCACCCCTCCCCAAGATGAACTGTGCTTTATTTCTGAGACAAATGGTAATTTCCTCATTCACTGGTTTTCATTATTGGGGTGGACTCAGATTTTTTTCACTATAAAAGTAAACTGCAATGTTTGGGACAAGTTGATAAGCTCTTTGCAATTTCTAGGACACTAACAATCAGATCTCTCAGGGTTCTCGCCTTCATGTTCCATCCCTCAGTTTTGTCAGGCAGAGAGCAGAAGTGCAGAACTGTATAGGAGAGCAAGTAATTCCTGATGCCCAGCTCCCAAGAGTTAGAACAGTAGACAATGATACCACACACAACACTTAACGAGAAAATATTCAAGCAGATTGTCTGGCAAATACATAGGGTGGGATCCAAAGGATCTGGTGCTTCCTGAACTGATTGAGGACCCAAATTTCCCATACCTGCACCTCTTTCACCAAGAAGCTGCTCCTGAAGGTCAGAGCATACTTCCACCATGGGTTCCCTACTTGTGAGAAGCTGCAAGCAGAAGTCAAAACCAAAAAATGTTCCTGCATGTGCAAAAGCACTCTGGATTAACAGGGAGGGCCTCTTGGATCCACCATCAGGGGGGGGGGGGAAACCACATCTCTGGTTGATGTTTCGCCTGAGTGTCATTACCCATAAAATTAGCAGAAGCCTTGGAGAGTTTTGTTCCATCTCACAAGGTTGTGTATTGTGCCTAGAGACCATCCCAACTTGGTGCACACAGCCCATTCTTTCCCTCTCTCCCCCTTGCCATTCCTAATGCTCACTTGCCTCTAGTTGAATGCTTGGCCCATTCAGTTGCCAATTGATCCAGAATTTGCAAGGTCTCTCCAATCTGCCCCCATTAAGGAGCTTGTCATCAAGCAAAGAGGATATCTCTGTGTATACCTGTAGCATACAGAAGTTCAAAATGATGTCAACTTTGATTTTATTGAATACATTATTTTGGTGGAACCAGCTGCAGCATTTGTAAAAGATTGCAGAAATGTATTTTATAAAATGACCTGATCTTAAATGTTAGATTAGGAATGCTCCCCTGGTGCTTTTTTTCTGTACTAACTAGTTTTGTCTAGTGGACTTGATCTCTAAATGGGCAAAATTGCTTTACCAAAAGCTATTGCTGACTTTTAATGGGATATGGTTTTGTCTCTAGGTCTGTGAAACGTATTGTGCAGTGTCATCAATGTTTATCTGTCTTGTAGAGGGAGAATCAGCTTAAGGTAAAGATTAAGAAATGTATCTTTTCAAGAAAAGATTTTGATTAATAGTTTAGGTAACCTAAAGTTGCTGTTTGCTAATTTTTGCAACTCAGGGGCTTAATGGAACTCAGTGAAGTCATGTCATATCTAAATACTTCCCTCCTATTCATGCACCTCGGCCCAGCAGTTCTTTAGGGGCAGGGGATTTCCACTTGTGAAAGAGCTTCTGCATTAACTTCAGCAAGAGAAGAGAAACAGCTTAGTATGTGCAACTGAAGTGGTCAGTTTTCAACCGCAGATAAACACCTTGCTCATCCATTGGTTCCATAAATCACTCTCTCCACCTGCCCGTTATAACAAGGAGGGACTTCTCTTTGTTTCACAGCAGTGGGGAGGAGATGGGAGGGGAGGGTAAGGGTGGACTAAGGCTCCATGTTCTTTTACTGCTGCATATCTCTTAAGGGTTGAACAGAGTCTCTGGATTGTGACTTTGCAATCCAGCACGAAACCTTTTGCACTGCCGGGCTTTCTCTTCTCTTTCCAGGATAGCGAATGTAGGAGCTGAGTCATTCTGAAGCTCTGTGTGTGCACCTACAGAACTCTGGACAGGACTGTGCTTGTTGTGTTGTTGTTTGTAATGCCCTGTGTTGAATAAATTAAATGCTGCATTGTATTATATTTCAAATACCAAAGATTTAATATGCCAGAGCCATTGGTTTCCCCCCTTCTTTCTGCAATGCATTTTCTTTTTGCCTCTCTGTCTGACCTTGCTCTCACTCAGGGAGCTGGGGCAGTACTTTAATTTGTAATATTGTGTAAATATGTGAATATATTAATAAACTGGTTAATTTCTTGTTTAATGACTCAGATCTTATGACTGGTTATATCGCAAAGGCTTGGCTTGCTATTTTGTAAAGGTTCCTTATTATTCCTAACGTGTCTCATATCTTTCCAGAAACATATTGAACACTTGATTATGCATTGTTTTGTAAGGTTCAGTTATATTTATATATGAGGCCATCAGAGCTCAGCTGAAACATCAATTCCAGCTTCACAGCTCTTTCCACGGGCTGCAAAGTTGAGCTCTCCTTTTGTCATTTATTTGTTGGTCCAGCTGTGGTAGGTGGGAAGAGAAAAGGAAGAAGTCAATCTTCTTTACTTATAATCTGCTGTTCTTAAATGCTTTGGTCTTATCATTGGTATTGTGCATTTTTAGTTTTTATTGTTTATTCTTTCACTATGTTAATCTCTGTAAGCAGCTTTGTGTGTTTTTATAACAGAGAGGTAGGATAAAAACAATACTTTTTGCAAGTCTGCAGCTAAGAAATATACTAACACAATATTGGAAAATGGCTACTAACTTAATTGTAGAGACATGATGGGATAGACCCAGGCATAGGCAAACTCAGTCCTCCAGATGTTTTGGGACTACAACTCCTATCATCCCTAGCTAACAGGACCAGTGGTCAGGGATTATGGGAATTGTAGTCCCAAAACATCTGGAGGGCAAGTTTGCCTATGCCTGGGATAGACTATGGAATATAGCCCTTATGGGGAAACTAACAAAGAATCTTAGAGCAATCAGGGACATAAAAGACTGAAAGCGATTTTGATATGGCATTGCACAGGTTTATTCAGCACACTGGAAAGGACATTGTCCCCTTAAATACCAGGTACCCACCACTCACTCTGGGACAATCTATTAAGGTGGAGTGTAGAAGACACCTAACCGATGTAATCAACTCTAAGCTATTACACAAACCTGCTTATCGTCTGACTATTATTTACATTGTACAGTATGTGCAAAGAATGTTTGTTGGAGGTAAGGATTGTTTGTTATATGTCTTTTCAAAGACCAGAGGTTAGTGAGCGCAATTGCTTGGGCAATTGGGAAAAGCTTCCTTACTTTCCTGCTCAGTACATTGAGGCTGTGAGAAAGAGGCACTTTTTGTAGCTATGAACAATGACAGAATAAACAAAAGCAAAATAAATTTGGGGAGGACTTTAAGGGGGCATTTTGTGCTGTGTGTGCCTCTGCCAAATTCAAGCCGAAGAAGTACCTCAGTGATATTTTGGCTATTCTGATTATACCTGCTCCTTATTTAACATTTCCTCCTGTGGATCCAGGTCAGCGGTTCCACCAGAAACTGCATCAAGGGTTCATCAGCAATGGCAGATAAGCTTCTCTGAAAATCAGTGTTGCCCATCACTATTAATTGCCCAGTTCTTCGATTTTTAAGGACCGTTTGGTGTGTGGGCCAAACAGGGCCTCACAAGAGCTGAATATACACCACAGAACAAGACCCAGAATCCTCTGCAACACAGCTGGGGTGCTGTGCTGATCAAGCTAATGCAGAAAGAAATTCTTTTGAAAGCAAAACGTTTGAAAACTGCTGATCTATGTCATCACTGTGAATTAATGGAATATTTTTCTTATACTACTATTAATTGCTTAGCCATACCTTTCATCCATTAATTTCTTGATTTGCCACATCAGTAAGATCCTAAACAAGATACCTTGTGCTAAATATCTCTCTCTCTTTCATAGCTCCATTCTTTTGGCACACGAGTTCAAATCTGAAAAGATCTTCTGACCCTAGGAATCATTCCCTGGGCTTTTAAAAGCCTTCTTTTATGTCCCTGCAAAACACAGTTCTGAAATACAGTTGTCTTTTTTCTTTTCTTTTTAAGGCTTAGCTGATGTGGAACACTCTCATCTTCCTTTCATAATGATGATGATGATGTTGAAATTGCTCATTTTGGAAGCCAGAAAATATTAGCAAATTATCACAGAGTCAAGAAAACATGAGAACAACCCTGCAGGATTGCCACACCAAGTTCAGATACCTAGGGGTACAAATAACCAGAAACCTCAATAAATTATACCTCCACAACTACAAGCCCCTGTGGCGACAAATAAACAAAAACCTACAGAGATGGAACAACATGAATTTCACTCTCTCAGACAAAATAGTCATGATCAAATTGATCACCCTCCCAAAACTAACCTACCTATTCCAAACCCTCCCAATCTGGATTCCCCAAACCCAACTTCCGCAGATGGTAGAGAAAACTACACTCCTTTATCTTCTCATACAAAAAACCAAGAATAAGCCCCAAATTCCTGCACCTCTCCACCTCAGAAGGAGGATGGGGAATCCCCAACATAGAAGCATAATACATTGCCAAATACGCCATATAATCCCATAATCTAAAAATGTTACATGGGGGGAAAAAACCGAGAGACATTGCACACACTTTTGTAAATCAATAAAATCTTTAATAATAATAATAATAAACCCAACCCTGCAGGATTAGAATCATAGAATCATAGAGTTGGAAGAGACCACAAGGGCCATCGAGTCCAACCCCCTGCCAAGCAGGAAACACCATCAGAGCACTCCTGACATATGGTTGTCAAGTCTCTGCTTAAAGACCTCCAAAGACGGAGACTCCACCACACTCCTTGGCAGCAAATTCCACTGTCGAACAGCTCTTACTGTCAGAAAGTTCTTCCTAATGTTTAGGTGGAATCTTCTTTCTTGTAGTTTGGATCCATTGCTCCGTGTCCGCTTCTCTGGAGCAGCAGAAAACAACCTTTCTCCCTCCTCTATGTGACATCCTTTTATATATTTGAACATGGCTATCATACCACCCCTTAACCTCCTCTTCTCCAGGCTAAACATGCCCAGCTCCCTTAGCCGTTCCTCATAAGGCATCGTTTCCAGGCCTTTGACCAGATTAGACCAAGATCTTGTTGTTGTTGTTTAGTCGTTTAGTCGTGTCCGACTCTTCGTGACCCCATGGACCAGAGCACGCCAGAGCACACTATCTATGGTAGCGGCATCCTTTTTCAAACCATAGGGGGCCGGATACCACCACTAGTAGTTGCCCATGGTTTGTCACCAGCACTTGGTATTCAAAGTAATACTGCTTTTGAACATGGAAGTTCCACCTTATCATGACCAATAACCAGTAGACCTGTCCTCCATGACTCTGTATAAGCTATGTAAGTTAAACAATGTGTTTAACTGTCTTGAATCTGCTACCAGTCAGATGTGATTGACTGGCTCTGAGTTCTGGCAGGATGAGAGTGCATAACGGAGGACACATTTTGTATCTTTTCTTGAGAAATGAACACATATCAAATTACACTTGTCCGACCATCCATTCATGCATGCTTTGTATGCTAGGAATATTTTGAGATAAATGGATGACCCATAACTGAGAAGAAAAAAACACACTGGGAATTGCAGCGCTTGTGGGATTGTTCAGAGCTGAGTGTTTGCACTTGTGCCAGTGTTCCAACCCATAGACTGGATCCTCTGAGTCCTTGCCCAATGACAAATTGAAATGACTGGAAGGCATTTAGGAGTTTATTATAATCCTATTGTCTCTTGCTTTGTACATGTATGCCTGTCTGTGGCTGTATGTATTATATATACACATGCACTATCTCTGCCCATTATGAGATGTAACCAATAAAGGGCAATGAGAGCCAGTGTGATGTAAGATACAGAGTATTGGAGTGCTGGATTTGAAGTGATGTGAGATTATATCACCGTTCCATCGGTGGCGCATTCAAAGATGCAAGTCACTACCTTGATGCCATGGTTATTGAGCGTTGGATATAGCTTTCTGTGAGCATATTTTCTTTATAAGGATAAAGATGGCCTATGGATACTGTCCTAAGCTCCTTATTTATCACAAGTGTGCTAAATGAACAGACTTAGGTCACTTAAATGATAAAGAATAATTGCAGGACAGGTGTTAACTCTTAAGCTTGTGCTTCACATAGTACTTATAAACACAACAAATACTTGAGTCAGAGGATAATAAGCATTTATCCAGCAATACAGTATACCCATATTTACTCAAGTCTAATGCACCATTGAATCTAATACGCTCCTCAGTTTTCAGAAGCTTGAAACCAAAAAAAAAAAGGGGGGGGAAGCACTTGCTGGCAAATGTAAATGTGCCATTGAATATAATGCACACCTTAATTTTCGCAATGTAATTTGGCCAAAAAAGGTGAGCATTAAATTTGAGTAAATATGGTTATAAGCATACTCCTTTTGTCATCATCTTCTGGAAGACCACAAAGAGATAACCTCCGTATCTGAACATGTGCATAACTTTCTTAATTAATAATCTCCAATCCCATATATGCATTTCTTTAATTGAAGAAGCCTTATAACATTTTCTTCCAGTATAAATGAAAATTATTCATTGTCAGAAGCCAACCATTCATCTTGTCAAAAAGACATACGATGTTAGCTTAAGGGCGATTTCTAATAACGACATAAGTGACATTTGCCTGCATGGCATTGGCAAGGCTACACATACATCTTTGTCAAACTGTCAGAATTCGCATGTGCTAACGTTTGGGCAGTTTAAAGAGCAATGAAGTACTAATTGTAGCCCAAAGTTGATATCATTTGTCTGCAATCGTCCTTCCCCTGCACTCAAATTTTGCCTACCATATTAACCAAGAATTGTTTTGATGTGTGGGTTTATAATGGCCACTAAAACGAGCCAAAGAAATACTGGATTGCCAAGCATTTTATAGGCACTTTGGGTGTTCTGTGGACTGGACTGAATAGCCCTGTAATATACACAGATGCTTTTAACTTTCCCTGTTCCAGTTCCCACTGCTTGTGCCTTAAACATTTTACACTCTTACGTCTCTTAAATGTTTCCCAGATCAAACTAGTAACTGGCAAAATGTTCTTCCATCCAACCCTAATTCCCTTTCCTTTTCCCTTTCTCATTATGTCTTCTTTGAACTATAGCACTCATTATTACATTTATTGTGAAACAAGAAATACAAAAGTAGCATCCCCGTTGCAACATTGCCGTCCCC